GGCGGGGGTGGACGGCCCCTGCAGCCTTTCGCAGCCCGCAGCCGCTTTCGGCTCCGCTCCTCCTGCGGGCGAAACCCAGGCCGTGAGCCGCCTAGAGGCCTCCGGGCAGGGGGAGGGGGGGGGCACGTCCCAGCCCGCAAAGCAAAGACTCCAACCCAACCTCCTGGCCCTGGGCGCCCCTTCTCTGCACGTCCCCACTCCTCCCGCCCTGTCCAGGCTCTTACTCTCGCTCCGCACACCCCTTCCCGCGCGCACCAACCTGCTTCGGGGCCCGCGGGGTCGCCCTTGTCCTCGGGCTTCTGCGGCTCGTCCTCGTCGTTCTTCTCCAGGTCGATGTTCTCCTCCTCCTCCTCGTCCTCGCTCCGGTTCCTCGGGGTCCACGTCATCTTGTTCTCCTTCTTGAGGCGCCGGCGCGCGTTGGCGAACCAGGTGGACACCTGGGTGAGGGTCATCTTGGTGATAATGGCCAGCATGATCTTCTCGCCCTTGGTGGGGTAGGGGTTCTTGCGGTGCTCGTTGAGCCAGGCCTTGAGCGTGGCGGTGGCGTCCCGCGTGGCGTTCTTGCGGTACGCGGGGTCCCGTAAGGGTAGGAGCCCAGGGGCGCCGCGTAGGGATGGTACCCCAAGGAGCCCGCCATGCCCGGCGTGTGGTCGTAGGGAGAACCCTGCAGGCAACAGGCAGAAAGAAGAAGGTGAGAGTGGGCCACGGTCCCCACTGCCACCGGGGCGACCGGAGGACAGTGTCCCCGCGCCCCGGGGTCTGCGGGGCGGCGAGGCCCAAACTCCGGCTTCCGCTGGTGGGCGCAGAGCTAAGGGCAACCCCTCCCCCTCCTCGGAACGCAGCGGGAGCGCCGACTCCCGAGTCCGGTTCTTAGTGGGCGCTGGAAGCCATCCTGGCCTCGGCCCGAACCCCGTGGGCCCCAGGGTGCCGGGTCACGTTGGTCCCGGGTGTGCGGATCCGACCACCGCGGTCGGGCCTTCCACCCCGAGAGGTCCGGGCAGCGGCGGCGGCTCCTCGCTTCCAGCCCGGGTGGCTGCGCTTCAGGCGCCAGGCGGGAGAGAGCAAGGGGAGGGAAGGCATTTTCCCCTCCTGAGAAGGACGAAGGAAAAGCCGCGGCTGGCCCCGGCACTCCGCCCCTCCGAAAACGTTCCCCCAAACCGGAGCCGCGGCGCTTTTCCAGAAAGTGCACCCGGCCGAGAAATCCCGGATGCACCGCAGCTCGGCCGACTTCTCAGAAATCTAATACCTCCCAATCGGATTGCGGAGATAGGATTACGGATTTGCAACATTTCGGAGGACTAATTAAAGGCGAAGCCAAACACATTTACACCAACTTGGCACGCTTCTGCTCAGATTCCGGGTTTATTTCTTTGGAACTAGTTTCCCAAAATTGCAAAACTTAAAAAAATTAAAAAATACAAATTCGCAGGGCGGCCTGGAGCTCACGTTTGAACCAGATGCTGCTCTTTAAATTGCAGCGACCTCTCCTCCCCAGACCCTTTCCGCAGCTCAGCGGCCGAGCCAGACACGGCTCCCTCTCTCCCCGAAACTCCGGAGCCCGAGCCCCGGGGAAGCCGGAGAAAACAATCGCTCAAGTTG